ACACGGCTTTTTGCTTTAGCAAGAGCCTCTCTTGGCTTTAGCTTTAAACGTTTGCTCAGATTTTATCTCTAAAAAGCAATGTGTAAACTGACGACAATGGATAGTCAACATATGAATATAATAGATCTAAAGGAGTGAGGTGACAATTCTCTAACATGGAGAATTGGTTTACCAATACTACAATTCTTTCCCGTGTATCCAGGAACACAGCTACAATTAAAATCATTCACAGCATCTGTGCAACTTCCTCCATTTTCGCACGGTCTATCAGCACAATCGTCGATATCTTAAAAGAAATTTAAAATTCAGAAAATATTTTGAAATATATTAAGAAATAGCTGTAATACTTAGTTTTATTTTCAATCCATAAAGGACTGTAGTCGCTATGTTTGCTCTCTCCGGTTGCATAGACTTCTTCCGAATACCCCATATAATCGCATTCGGTTCGGCCTCTAAAATGATTTTCAAATTAATGCTCTAATTAAGGAATGCGTCCTCCCAGGCTAATCCGTTTCAATTAATCCATCGACTGATTCTCATATAACCAGCTACCGTTGAGCAAATTTAGAAGCCTTCGCGAGATCAGTCTGATAAAATGTCGTCTTCATAGTTCAGGATAATTCCCCGCCTTCTGGCCTCGATCTGCATTTTGCTGCATTTCACTGTATACGTGTTGCACAGGTCGTTTTGCCATCTCCGCCCTCAATTTGCAAATAGCAGGTTAAGAGTAACGAGGCGCTGACGAGGCGGGTAGAGTGGAAAGGTTATAGCAGTCATAAATATTAAATTAAAAGAAGCTATGAAGATTATATTAAAGTAAACTAAATAAATTCTGCGGACGGATGAGAATTACAAAAAAACCACAACAACGACTCGACAACAACAAAAGAGCTAGAGTTACAAAAATAGTCTTACAGAAATTTCCCTAAGAACCATCAATTATTAGTGCATTAAGACGTGTTTGCAGATTTTGCTATTTTTTGTAGCAGAATGGGCACTTTAACATAATCATCCTCTGTTCCATTATCGCGAGCAATAAGTGTTTTTTAAAAACTCGTGCAGTTATTAAATCAGTAATTAATTGCTGTAAATAACATGATTCTATTACATGGAGAATAAGCTTACCAATACTGCAATTCTTCCCCGTGTATCCAGGAACACAGCTACAATTAAAATCATTCACAGCATCTGTGCAACTGCCTCCATTTTCGCATGGTCCATCAGCACAATCATCGATATCTTGAAGGAAATTTAAAATTCGGAAAATATATATTTTGAAATATATTAAGAAGCAGCTCTACTACTAAGTTTTATTATCCATCCATTAAAGACTGTAGTCGCTATGGTTGCCCTCTCCGGTTTCATTGATTTCTTCCAAATACCCCATATAATCACATTCGGTTTGGCCTCTAAAATGATTTTCAAATTAATGCTCTAAGGAATACGTCCTTTCAGGCTACTCCGTTTTAATTAATCCACCGACTGATTCTTAAATAACCAGCTCTAGCGTTGACCAAATTTAGAAGGCTGTTGCGGCGGATCAGTCTGATAAAATGTCATCATCATAGTTGAGGATAATTCCCCGCCTTCTGACCTCGATCTGCATTTTGCTGCATTTCATACTCATGCAGAACGTGGCTTACCAATACTGCAATTCTTTCCCGTGTATCCAGTAACACAGCTACAATTAAAATCATTCACAGCATCTGTGCAACTTCCTCCATTTTCGCATGGTCCACCTGCACATTCGTCGATATCTTAAGCGGAATTTTAAAAAAAATAATATACTTTGACATCGTATAAAGATTCAGGATGCCACTTGATTCGGGTTGGGTCACTAAACTGCTCCATAACCTTTTTTTTTTTCACGCTTGTTCACAGGCTTGTTATAACGCCGGCGAGAAAGTCACGACTTCACATGAAAAGTCTGAAAAGTGGAAAGATTTGTACCGGCATAACAAGGACGCATCGAATCCTCGGTCGCTTCGATTCAAAGGCCGGGATACTGAGCACAGCCAATAAAGCTATGGCTTCTTAAACAAAAAACACCAAAGTTATAATTAAGACCGTAAGTTTAGAGTGATCATGAATGTTGTTGCAACTGATAATACAGGGCTTTTTTCTTTAGCAAGAGCCTCTCTTGGCTTTAGCTTTAAACGTTTGTTCAGATTTTATCTCTAAAAAGCAATGTAAACTGACGACAATGGATAGTCAACATACGAATATAATAGATCTAAAGGAGTAAGGTGACTATTCTATAACATGGAGAACTGGCTTTACCAATACTACAATTCTTTCCCGCGTATCCAGGAACACAGCTACAATTAAAATCATTCACAGCATCTGTGCAACTGCCCCCATTTTCGCATGGTCCATCAGCACAATCGTCGATATCTTGAACGAAATTTAAAATTCGGAAAATATTTTGAAATATATTGCGAAATGGCTGTAATACTAAGTTTTATTATCCACCCATAAAAGACTGTAGTCGCTTTGTTTGCCCTTTCTGGTTGCATTGACTTCTTCCGAATACCTCATATAATCACATTCGGTTCGGCCTCTAAAATGATTTTCAAATTAAAATGAAATTAAGGCTACTCCGTTTCAATTAATCCACCGACTGATTCGTAAATAAACAGCTAGTGTTGTCAAATTTAAGGCCTGTTTACATGGAGTGGGGGACCCCGGTCTAGTGGGGTTGGTTTCTTTTGTTTTCACGCTCTGGGGGACACAAAACAAAAGAAACTTACCCCACTAGACCGGGATCCCCCACTCAATGTAAACAGGGTCTAAGAAGGCTTTTGCGAGATCAGTCTGATAAAATGTTGTCATCATAGTTCAGGATAATTCCCCCCCTTCTGGCCTCGATCTACGTTACATTTTGCTGCATTTCATACTCATGCAGTAATTAAATCAGTAATTAATTGCTGTAAATAAAATGATTCTATCACATGGAGAACGTGCTTACCAATACTGCAATTCTTCCCCGTGTATCCAGGAACACAGCTACAATTAAAATCATTCATAGCATCTGTGCAACTTCCTCCATTTTTGCATGGTCCATCAGCACATTCGTCGATATCTTAAGCGGAATGTAAAATACATAATATACTTTGAAATTGGATTAAGATTCAGGATGCCACTTGATACGGGTTGGGACACTAAACTGCTCCATAACCTTTTTTTTTACTCATGTTCACAGACTTGTTATAACGCCGGCGAGAAAATCACGACTTCACATGAAAAGTGGAAAGATTCGTAGCATAACAAGGATACATCCAATCCTCTATCGCTTTGATTCAAAGGCCGGGATACTGAGCACAGTCAATAAAGCTATGGCTTCTTAAACAAAAAACACTAAAGTTAAGACCGTAAGTTGAGAGTGATGATGAATGTTCTTGCAACTGATAACACAGGGCTTTTTCCTTTAGCAAGAGCTTCTCTTGGCTTTAGCTTTAAACGTTTGTTCAGATTTTATCTCTAAAAAGCAATGTGTAAACTGACGACAATGGATAGCCAGCGCATGAATATAATAGATCTAAAGGATTGAGGCGACAATTCTATAACATGGAGAATTGGCTTACTAATACTGCAATTCTTTCCCGTGTATCCAGGAACACAGCTACAATTAAAATCATTCACAACATCTGTGCAACTTCCTCCATTTTTGCACAGTCCATCAGCACAATCGTCGATATCTTGACAGGAATTTAAAATTCCGAAAATATTTTTAAATATATTAAGAAATAGCTGTAATACTAAGTTTTATTATCCATAAAAGACTGTTAGCAGTCGCTTTGGTTGCTCTCTCCTGATGCATTGACTTCTTCCGAATACCCCATATAATCACATTTGGTTCGGTCTCTAACTGAATAATTGTTAAATTAAATTTTGCTCTAAGGAATGTGTCCTCCCAGGCTACTACGTTTCAATTAACCTGTGATCAGGCGATTTTTTTTTTCTTTTTTTGCTGATCGCAGGTTACGTTTCAATTAATCCACCAACTAATTCTTAAATAACCAGCGAGCGTTGACCAAATTTAGAAGGCTTTTGCGAGATCAGTCTGATAAATGTCGTCATCATAGTTAGGATAACTCCCAGCATTCTGGCCTCGATCTGCATTTTGCTGCATTTCAATGTATACATATATGTACTTTATTTTTACACACATCCTTTTGACATCTTCGCCCTCAAATAGCAAGTTGAGAGCTAGACAAGGCGGGCAGGGTGGAAAGTTTATAGCCGTCATGAAAGAAGCTATGAAGATTATATTAAAGAACTAAATAAATTATGTGGACGGATGGGAATTCCAAAAAAATAAAACAAACAAACAAACCAAAAACAAGCTAGAGTTACAAAAATAGTCTTACAGGAAGTCGTGGCTGCAGATTTTACAATTTTTTGTAGCAGATGGGCACTTCAACATAATCATCCACTTATTCCATTATCGAGAGCCATAAGCCATGAAAATGTTTTTTAAAAGCTCATGTAGTTATTAAATCAGTAATTAATTACTGTAAATAATGTAATTCTATTTCATGGAGAAATGGCTTACCAATACTGCAATTCTTTCCCGTGTACCCAGGAACACAGCTACAATTAAAATCATTCACAGCATCTGTGCAACTTCCTCCATTTTTGCATGGTCCATCAGCACAATCGTCGATATCTTGAAGGAAATTTAAAATTTGGAAAATATTTTGAAATATATTAAGAAATAGCTGTAATACTAAGTTTTATTATTAATCCATAAAAGACTGTAGTCACTTTGTTTGCCCTTTTCGGATGCATTGACTTCTTCCGAATACCCCATATAATCACATTCAGTTCGGTCTCTAAAATGATTTTCAAATTAATGCTCTATAGCTAAGGAATGCGTCCTCCCAGGCTACTCCGTTTCAATTAATCTACCGACTGATTCTTGAATAACCAGCCAGCGTTGACCAAATTTAGAAGGGTTTTGCGAGATCAGTCTGATAAAATGTTGTCATGGTCAAATAGTTAGGATGATTCTCCGCCTTCTGGCCTCGATCTGCATTTTGCTGCATTTCATATTCATGCAGTTATTAGATCAGTAATTAATTGCTGTAAATAACATGATTACATGGAGAATTGGCTTACCAACACTGCAATTCTTTCCCGTGTATCCAGGAACACAGCTACAATTAAAATCATTCACAGCATCTGTGCAGCTTCCTCCATTTTCGCACGGTCCATCGGCACAGTCGTCGATATCTTAAGCAGAATTTAAAATACGGAAGTTTTTTCTACTTTGTTTGTCAGAACGTGAGAAACGTGTTAGGGTGAGAAAATCACGACTTACATGAAAAAAAAGGGTTACATTGAAACTTGGCTTACCAATGCTGCAATTTTTTCCAGTGTATCCAGGAACACAGCTACAGTTATAATCATTCACAGCGTCTATGCAATTTCCTCCATTTTCGCACGGTCCATCAGCACATTCGTCAATATCTTAAATGGAATTCAGTGCGGATAATAACAATAAAGTTTTTCAGAAACTTAATAATAAAATTCATCGATCACGTTCCCATGCAGACACAGTGATTGATCGTTCTAACCCTTTAAACTCGGCCTTAAAAGTGATCAGCATCAAATTTCTCATTGTAATATCAATGCTTTGTAAAATATAGTGGTCATGAGATTTCCGGACATGATCACACAAGATCAATAGACCTTTTTACCGATACGGCGGCCATAGTCAATTTATTAGATTTAAGGAGTATTATGGGATGCCCAGGGGGCACTGGCTGTCGCTCAGCATTTACGCTCGCTTTTCTGGCAAAAAGAGAACTTCACTGTATATTTCTCGGGAAAAAGGCGATCATTATTAAATCCAAAAACGGCAAAACGATCTTTTTTTTTCCCATTGCAGTCTTTTTCTAGGAAAACTAAAAGAAAAATTGTCCCGAAAAGCGCGCGTTAAAACTGATTGAGCAAATCGGATCGTGCTCATGCCTCCTGTGCTTCCCATAATACCCCTTAAATCTACTTAATTCAAAATGGCTGCCGTATCGGTAAAAAGGTCTATTTGCTTGATATTTTATCAACTTCTCACTCGATGCTTCTGTATGAAATGAATAAGGGTAACAAATGAGAATTTAAATTTTGATCTGAGGGCTTTAAGGGTTAATTGCTCCTTCCGCTGGATTAAGGGGCGACTAAGCTATGTTTATACTACATCGCGGATAGCTTTTTGCGCAGGCACGAAAACCATACGATATAATTGGACGATAGGGCTATTGTTAAAACACAAGAACTGTGATTTCAGCGCGATTTCTTTAATCGGAGCTTGGCTGTGTACGCAACGCCGATTTCTAATTAAAGTGGAGAGTCACATATGGGATAGATGTTCATACCATTCCGCATAGCATTTGGTGTTGGTACGAAAAGTTATCCGACCAGTATAGTGTGAATAAAGCTTTAGAATCTGAGCCTACGCCTATGAGCACAGAACAGTACTGAGAATGGCGGCCTATATTCATCAGTGTTAATCTATTAAAAAGTTTTAACTGCTGTAAATTTCGTTACAATGCTTATAATTTATAGCAAACGGCTTTACTTTCCCTTCCTGGATTCTGGTTTCTGGGATATAGTTGCTCGTGGAATCCGGAATCCTATGATTTGGAATCCGGAATACAGCTTAAGGAATCCGGAATCCCACAAACGACTGGAATCCAGAATGCAAGTTCCACTGACGAAGATTTGGAATCCAGTACCTGGAATCAAGAATCCAAGACTGTCTTGGATTCACGTAAAACACGGGGAGCTTTTAATAAATATCATACATTCTGTACAATATACTATTAAATAAAATGGGCGGAAATGGCTTACCAATACTGCAATTCTTCCCCTTGAAGCCAGGAATACAGCTACAGTTATAATCATTCACAGCATCTGTGCAATTTCCTCCATTTTTGCATGGTCCTTCCGCACAATCGTCGATATCTTAAGCGGGAAATTTAAAGTGAGGCCGAAGATATGTCAACGATATTTATATTTATTATATGGAGGAGAGTGTTTTACTGGGAACTAAACCACTCGTAGATTCCATACGCCACTTCATCCGGGACCCGAGTGGCGTATTTTCCGTATGTCACCTTTGTGAGTGTCGTATCGTTCAATGACGTCACGATTCCCGCCTTTTGCTTTTGTTGAATTGGTTTCTCCATATAATAAAAAGAGCATTACACGTTGGCTCGAAGATATGAATTTTATGTTCTCGTGGCAAGAACAATATCTCACTTGTTCGCTTCGCTCACTCGTGAGATATTGTTCTTGCCACTCGAACATAAAATTCATATCTTCTCGCAACCGTGTAATATCCTCTATATATTATTTTACCTTTTACACACTATCTATCTTCCTGGCCATTGGCTAAGAACCTACAGTTAATTTTGCCGGAAAATCAACGCAGCCCACAGATTAGTTTGATGATTATCTGCCAAACGGATAACTAACTAAACTGTAAGTTCCTCGCGCTATGCATGATTTTCGAAAACCAATATGGTCAATATGTCAAATTGGTTCCGTCCGACGGTGTGATATTTGTCGCGACTAATTTCAAAACAATGTAAAATAAAACAATTATTTGATTCGGTGCTTGTGACTTCCGGAATAATCAAGGTCTTCGTAAGTGTTACCAGCCTCGACCTTTGGCTCGGCTGATCTTGATAACATTAGCGCAATGTCTAGTCCTCTCCTAAGACTACAACATCGAAGTTGAATTTTATTTTTAAAAGGATTTTTTATCTTAGGTTCAGTTCTTGGGCACTTTTCGATACGCAGCTAATAAATTCTATTTGAAATTATGTTTTTCTGATTATTCAAGATTTGTGCTCTAAGTTAACTACACAGAGGGTGTCACTAATGTATCGTTTTAACTTTGAAAATTCGCACGGTCGCTAAGAGCTAGAAACGTAGCACCGATAGTTCAGTTGGAATGATGACATTGAAGAAGCAGTAATCAATCGTCACAGGACTATGCACTGAAAATTCTGACGACTTTTCAAAGTTGGTCGGCAAAAGTCCATCTCGCAAATATCCATAACGGTTTTCTAAAAATCCATAATTTTCTGCTTTTCACAACATAATGATTCAACAAAAAGAAACACACGCATGCGCATTCTGCTTTTGTCACCAATTCGCTCCTCGGATAAGTCACCGAAGTAAAGTGACCGAGTGGGATTGGGAAAACGCCGTACAGGGACTAGACAGGTATGTACATAAGTCCTTTAAATAACAAGTTACGATCTGTCGATGATCCTTCTTTTTCTTTGTAAAACAGGAAAGTAGACACGCGCCCAGGAGAAATGACACAGCCCTAAATACTAAATCATGTTATGCAATGATGTGAATACTAGCTACGCGCGCTGTGATTGGTCGTTGCCCATGGCCATGATCTATCAGAGTACAGATACATGGAGGCGTCATGGAAAACTTGTTTCCTCTGTTTTGTTCAAAATGGCGGGCGGTTTTGAAGATATTTGTGAGACTATTTCAGATTAAAGTTAGTGAAAGCCTCGAAGAACGTTTAGCAGGAGCCTTTTACAAAGACGAAAAATGAAGGAACGGATACAAAAAGAGCTCTTGATTACTTGAGAATGCCTAAACTACAGAAATATTCACAACAGCAGCCATCGTGTGTCATCGCTACGAGAGACTCGTAAAAAAAACATCAGTGACACACTCGCCCGCGGTTCAGGTGCCAGTTCTTTGTTTTTATCATATTTTAACGTCATCTGTGATCTATTACAGCACAGAAGCACAGCAATTTGTTAAATAGAGTGGTTTTCGTTTGAGTGTCGCAAAACCAAAACCAAAGTAATTACTCTGGCCAATCACATAGGACACAGACAATACATTGAACCAATCAAAACTCGAAGTAATTACATGTGGCTGACGCAAAGCGCGGGAAAATGCATGCGAGCGCGTCACAATTGGCGTTGGTTTTACTTCTGATTGGACGAAAAGGTGGCGCGAATCTTTTAAGCCAATCGCATCGTGTAGAAAGTGCAAAACCAATTACTTTTCGACACTCAAATGAAAACCGCTCTATTACACAAAATATTTAGTATACAAGCAAAAGATGATCACCAAGGAAAGCATACCTATTGAGCAATTTTTCCCAGTGTATCCTGAAACGCAGCTGCAGTTGTAACCAAGTTCACCAGTCGTGCAATTTGCTCCATTTTCACAGGGTGCATTGGCACAATAATCTATACAGAGAAGGAAATTTATGCCAAACAAAACAAAAATTAAAATATTGCAATTGATATTATTGAATGCATCCGAGGCAAAACACGTTCCCAGAAATTTTCTTCTTTGGATAATGATGCTTTTGGTGAAAAGATGAATTGAGTCGGACTATCTACAAGCACATTACTAGATTTTTATTTTGCGAGTTGTTTAAAGCACAATTAGAGAGCTTAATTAAGCAACAACGACGACCGCCGCGACGGTTACGAAAACGTCACATAAAAAGTCAATTCGCACTACATCAAACTTTATGACTCTTAATCCATCTCGTCAAATTTTGGCCAATTTTGTCGAAGTTGAATTCCAAACGACTGCGTCACACTGTCAGGAAAAGAAAAAGAAGTTGTTGTCTTGTGTTCACGTCCTCGACAAAACGTGAAATTATATTAGGCATTTGTTCACGTCGTAGTCGTGCATCGATCGACGGCTAAGAAATGTACAAAAAGGCGTGATGCACGTGCAAAGTTGTTGTTTTGCTACTATAAACCATCGAAGTTTTTGCCGTTCTCGTTGCCGTCGTCGTGGTCGTTGTTTAAGCTCCCTAATTTTCCCAAATTATAAACCACGTCTTGTTTGATGCATATATTTTAGTCTGTTCATCATTTTAAAGGTGACTCGACCTAGTATTTTTGTAGGCTGCATACTAATTTAGACATCTTAATCGTAAACAGCTTGCAAATACGTGATTCCTGAAACGGAAATCTGTCGGAAACATGTAAAAAAAGTGTCCCGGTTCCGTTGTAAACGCATGCAGCGACAGAAACATGAGAAACCGTAATGTATCCGCTAACGGAAACACGCGTTTGCCGCTGTGTTTCCTCAACGGAGTCACGTGTTTCCGCCATGTTTAAGTTTACGGATACTTGATTTTTCGTCCTGTGAATTGGCTTTCATGCTAGTCCGTTTTAACACATGGATTACGTTGAGAATGAACTATTAATATTAAGATATTAATTCTTTTTGCGATTTTTTATTACGCTCTTTCAGCTCGTGCTAATAAAATTATTCAAAAGCGAACTGTTTTCGTGTTTACCGAAAGTTGATCACGTGATCAACTGATGCAAAAGGCCTATTGTTTCTTTCCCTAATACTGCTCCACTGTATAGAGATTTATCCAATGGATACTGAGCTCTAGCCAGCCTTTGAGCAACTGGGCCTAGACTTTCTCCAAGCAAATTTGCTACTTCTTACTAGATACTTCCGAAACGTTTTCACGCCTCATTGATTTCAAGAAATTCTCCTATATAATCCCAACTCCAGATCAAAAAGACAGTTAACGGCAATTTTCAATCACAAACAAATGACAAGTTACTAAAAGCCCAGGAATTTTACAATTTGGTCAAGACGCGCATGAAATTATTCCCTCATTTCACTCGGGTACGTTACCACTTGTACCTGGAGGACTGCAATGTATACTGGCATCTTTTGCTTGTGAAGACGCGCAAGCCGGTCTATTAGAGGAACCCGATGGGCAAGCCGATAAACTTGGTTCGGAGCCTTTACAGTTATAAAATCTGCTGCTTGTTGATGTTCCAGAACCAAATTCAGATTCTGACTTTGCATCTAATGCTTCTCCCATGTTCAGCACGCGACAAACAACTTTAGCATCATTTATATCCCACTTAACGCAAATAGACTGCCACTGTGAGCCATTGTACAATTCCAAACGACCAGTGTAAGAATTGGGACCATTGACAATTCGAACTGGACTCGGAAGGAAAGAATGTTTGGTACAGAAGTGAAAACACTTTTACTAAATTAAAGTAAGTAAAAAACGTTTGTAAACTGCCTAAAATAAATGTGTTATATAAATGTGTTGGATCCCGCGGGAAGGTGTTTGGTATTTCAAAAGCTGGTTGATGTGTAACATTTGGTGCAGATTCGGAGTATACGATTGTTGGCCATTGTTGGGGGAGTGCAAGATACAACTTCGTTACCTCTACGCCACGCGACTGTCAATTTATTAAGACCGTTTTCCCTAGAACTTCCGCTAGCGTACCCTGTATAAAGTTGATCGCACCCTATGAAACACGAATTCGAAGATACTTTTCTGATCAGAGGAATGGCTGCTGTTTTGTCGGTGAAAATCCTACGTAAACGCATTCATCGCATGTAAAGAACAGATTCCTGACTAGGCCGATACGGTATAAACACATCTTCGGAGACCCAGGGGCAACTAGTCGGGTCGATAAAATGTTCGTGGTGAAAAGCTTACAGTAAACTTTTCACCACGAACATTCTACCGACCCGACTAGCTGCCCCTAGCTGGGCCTCCAAGGATGGTATAGACTTCATCTGCGAGCAAAACGTATTTTTTGTTTGTTACCTCTTTTTTCGCTTTCAAAAATGAACTTAACATCGAAGGAGGTAAGCATGTTTTAGCTGTATTTTTAAATTAGGAACTATTTTGAATGAATAATAGAGCGATTAATGAATTCGGCCTTCGTAGGATATGAAGAATTAAGCAGATCTCAGAGGGTGTTATCCACCTAGGCCTTCAGCGACGGTGGATAACACCCTCCTCGAACTGCTTAATTCTTCATATCCTACTCAGCCCTAATTATATTTTGTTTATTTGCCAAGTGTCATCCATATAGAACTGATAAGATGAAAGCTAGAGATCCGCGAGCTTGAGAGTTACTCAGGTTG